TTTTATTCCATTTATTTAGTTCCACGAGACGACTAAAATGTTAATCCTGTGTAGTTTCTGATCGGATCAGAATTAACACTTTCGGAAAAATCAGAAATGGAAATTAAAATAAATTGTTCCAAAATCGGATTTCTTTTTTAGTAATCGGCGGGATTCCGAAATTCCAATCTTTTAGTAACCTATAATACAAAATACATAATTAGATAATCGGAAATTATCGGAGATATTTTTGGAAATTAAAACCACATCAGAAATCGGAATTTAATATGTATTCCAATTCCGTCGCAAAAAAAAATAATCGAAAAAATTGGAAACCCGGAATGAAAAAAATTGTTCCAAAATCGTAAATATTTATAACCTATTTTCGTTTATTTATTACTGTACAGGGTTTTAGTGCTACACTAACGGAACCGATCGACACTCCGGGAAGAAGGGGAGATCAGATAAAAGAAATGGAACTTAAATTGCATCCCGATTTGAAAGTGCCGCTAACAATGCTTTGTAGTGACCCGAATACGACAGTTGTGGTCCTTAGTGGAAGCGATCGAGCCATCCTTGATGAAGTAATTAAAATATAATATATTATTTTTTATTTTTTATTTTTTATTTATTATTTTTATAATATTCTAAATAATTGCATTTGCAGAATTTCGGAGAGTTTGACATGTGGTTAGCAGCTGAAAACGGGATGTTTCTACGCTCGACGAAAGGAGAATGGATGACAACTATGCCCGAACACTTGAATATGGATTGGGTCGATAGCATAAAGGTACAACAAAATTTTACTAGTCATATAATATAATTTCAATAATTACTATATATAATTCGTTAAAAAAAAACGTAAAAATTACTATTTTCAGCAAGTATTTGAGTATTTCACTGAAAGAACTCCGAGATCGCATTTTGAACGTCGCGAAACTTCACTTGTATGGAACTACAAATACGCAGGTAAAATTAGTATCCCTACTAAATCAAGATTCGTACAATAATATTTTTTCTATTTTTTTCTCGTTCCTAATCGTTTTATTTTTTTAATAAATAATTTAAGATGTCGAATTTGGAAGATTGCAAGCTAGAGATATGTTACAGCATCTATGGACGGGTCCGATTTCTAACGCGTCGGTTGATGTTGTCCAAGGAAGCCGATCGGTTGAGGTTCGATCGGTCGGTGTAACAAAGGTACATACATACACATCTCTTTTAAATAATTCAATATTTTTTTTAGCATTTCATAGTATACCCATATCTTCTAATATTTTATTAATGATTTTCATTTTTTATTTTATTTTTTATTTTTCATTTCAGGGATCGGCTATTGACCGTATATTGGGAGAGATTGTTCATAGCAAATCCATCTCTACACCAATCGATTATGTCTTGTGCATGGGTCATTTCTTGGGAAGGGTAATCATCATCCTCTTTCTATAAGTATATGATAATTAAATACTCGACTCATACTTATTATTTTTCGAGTATCTTAATATTGTTGGCCCCCCGAAACGACAAAAAAAAAAAAAAAAACAAAAAAAAAATCTGGCTCCGCCAAAATGAGGTAATTTTAAACTCGAATTTTCATTTTCCAGTGGCACTAAAAAGCCATCAACTCCAATATACTCCATCTGCTTCAAAATAAGTGTCAGTTTTGACCGTATTTTTTCCCGCCATTTCACTTTAGAATTTCAAGGCAAAATTATTTTTATTACCAAGTTTGCCCTTCGGTTGAAAAGTCCTATCAATGGAGATAAGTTTGTTGAGTTTTAGATATTACAAGTCATTTCATAGGTTTGTGAAGGGCATTTTGTGGTTTTTCCATAAAACGAGGATATTTATTAGGTTTCTTAATCTGTGTGTTGTTTACCCTTTTTTCTAGGATGAGGATGTATACACATTTTTCGAACCGGAACTTCCCTCCGATTCCATCCGCCTACCAAGAATTAAGCCGATCGAACCAAGGTCTTCCGTAGAGAAAAGGCTATCTCCAAAGCTCCCCCACGGGGGAAAAAGCAGCAGCAGCAGCAGTGGCGGCAGCAGCAGCTCCAAGACTCAGAGTAAGAGCCTCCCTCCCCACCTCGGACCAAACTCCGACAAGAAATCCACCACTACCACCGGCGGTGGCGGCGGTGGTGCCGCCTACGGAAACAGCGGCAAAAGAGGTGCGTCGTCGGAAAACGGTGCTTGGAATGTGCTCGATCTAAAGAAAGAGAACTACTTCTCTTGTTCGGTCGGAAGAACTCGTACGACCGCGCGGTACCTTTTCAACACATCGGAGGATGTAGTTGCGTTTCTCAAGGAGTTGGGCGAAGCAGCTTTCTCTAACCAGCTTTTATCGTATATATGAGTGTTAGTGTAATCGTTTTCGTTAAGTTATAAAAAAGTACTGTAACTATAGCACTTTCGAGTTCTGAAAACATATATATATATCTATATATATATATATACATGCTTATATAGGAAAGATTAATCGTCTTAATCTTTCGAAATTTACATTAACAAGACTCTTTAGGTTCATTAATTACTGAACAAAAGTAATAAATCCTGAAGAAATAATAATCCTTAAATTGAATACAAATTAACTAAACAAATACAAGAATTTATTACATCTAAGAACAAACATGTCACAAACCACATGCAGAGATGTTCTTTTTAGTGCAGTACAATAATACAATTTCAAAGTAAATGGGCATATCCTGCAAAACCACCTTCCTCAACATAGCATATTCTCTAAAAAAAAAGAAAAACATTAAAAAAAAATATTAAAAATTAAAAAAGCACACGTAGACCCGAATCAAGAAACGCTTATGCAGCAGGGGTTTTACGGTTGGGTTCGAATACGATCTTGATCAACGAGTCTTTAATCGAAAGCAGCTCGGGGAACTCTTTCTTCAACTTAGAGGCATCCATTTCGTTGTTGCTTCTAGCAGCGACTATGACCTTTGCTTGCTCTTCGAGAGTGAAGTTGCTGTACTTGAAATCCGGGTCGATGTACTGCTTGTACATCTCCAAGATCTCGTTGTGGCTCACAACTCCAGGGTTTGTGAAGTTGTATATTCCCCTAAGATTCCTTTTCGCCATCTCAATCGAAATCGGAAGGAGCTCGTCCAAAACTGTCATGCTGTTGGGAATATTCACCACCTTGTTGTACTTCGAGATCTTTGTGATGAAATTACGCGGGTTGCTCAGGTCCGAAGATATTGGCATACGAACCCTCAATGTGCAGACATTGTCGTACTCTTTCAAGAGCTCTTCCACCTGATTCGAGTCCACATAAAAAAATAGAACATTTAATGATTTGGACTTGTTAAATTTTATAAGGAATAATTTGGACAAAGAATGGAAATATTATTACCATGGCTTTGGTTTTGGAATAGAAAGATCCGTGGAAATTGGGGGTGTCCTCCTCCTTGAATCCAATACCGGAACCTTCCGGATGTGCAGCGTCGTATTCGAATATACACCCAGTGGCGTAGTTCATCATGAGTAAGCCTTGCTCTCTACACACATCTGCCAAGGTCAATGTGCCAACGACATTGGTCCGAATTGTTTCGGTTTTGTGACTCTCACACCAATCAACATTTGGTCGACCAGTTACTCCAGCAGCATTAAAAACATGTGTCGGCTTAACAGATTTTATGTCAGCCAAAAGTGTCGAGCGATCTTGAAGACGCCCCTTTCCATATTCATACGCAATCCCCTGTTTCTCGCACAGTTTTCCGAGCAAACCACCGATCCACCCTGTTTTACCGTAGATCAAGAACTTCAGTGCTGGTTTTTGTGGCGATGGGCTGATTTCGGGATTGGGTTTAGACTCTCCGGTGAATTCAGATTTACCAGATTCGTACTTCTCAGCCCCATCGAAATGCCTCTCGATGCCACCTGGCATCATCAGCATTCTTGGATGGGGGAGCAGTGCACCAGACACATCGCCCCACCACTCGGGATTGCTTCTGTACCACTCGATGGTCTTTTTCAGACCCTCTTCCCATGCGGTCTTTTCGGACCAGCCAATGTTCTTCAGCTTCTGGTCGTCGAGGAAGTACCTCTGATCATTAAACGGCCTATTCTCCACGAACTTGATGCTCTTCTCAGGATCCATGTTGAACAGTTTGCATATATCTTCGGCAACATCAATGACCCTCCTTTCCTTCTTCGTTCCAATGTTGTAAACATGGCCCACTTCTCCCTTGTGAAGAACGACTTCAAAAGCCTCCGCTACATCCTCACAGTACAGGTAACTCCGCACGTTCGAACCATCACCGTGAATCGGAAGAGTTTTCCCCGCCATGGCTAAAAGGATGAATTTTGGAATCAACTTCTCAGGGAACTGATTAGGACCGTAAACGTTGTTTCCTCGGGTTGTAATAACAGGCAACCCATAAGATCTACCATAAGCCATAACAAGCATTTCAGCACCAGCTTTCGTGGCTGAGTAAGGATTCGTGGGCAGAAGCTGAGATGCCTCGTGATTTCCCACAACAGCATCCTCCTCGGTCTCTCCATAGACCTCGTCTGTGCTGACGTGGATAAATCTTCTGATCTGGCCAGTGACTTTGCAAGCCTCCAAAAGAACGTGGGTCCCGTAAATGTTGTTCTTGGTGAACTCGAAACTGTTACCGAAAGAATTGTCAACATGGGTCTGGGCGGCAAAGTGCATGATGGTGTCGATGTTCTCGGTGATGAGAAGGTAGTTGACTAGGTCAGCACTGCCAATGTCACCCTTGACGAACTTGAAGTTCGCCGAGGCTTTGGAAGGGAGGAGGTTTTTGAGATTGGAGCAGTAATCGAGTTTGTCGAGTACAACGATCTTGTACTCGGGGTAGTTTCGAATCAGCCGGTTTGCAACATGGGAAGCAATGAATCCAGCTGCCCCAGTAATGAGGATGTTCTTGGGCGTGAATGTCGACATCGTACTCTAGTTCCTATGAAAAGGCAAAACAGTCAAAAGTTAAAACAGATGCAAGAAAAAAAAAAAAAAAAAAAAGGTCATATAGATTCCAGACAATGTACGACAAAATCAATCGACATAGAAGTCATTAATTCCACATCAAGTTGTTAAACGTATTAACACGACATTGAATAAACTAAAAACCAGCAACTATTCAAGAAAAAGTTCGACTTTATCTTGTTTTGATGATCTTCTTTTGTAGCTAAACACACGAAATTCACAAATATCGCGAATCATCAATTTCGTGTATTAGTAGTTTTACTTCCCCTTTTCGAGTTTATTCATCCATAGTTCTCATTGGATCTATAGCAAAGTAGAAGGTAAACTGCAAGACAATAATTCCTAATCATGTAATTAAACACAAAAGATTCACCATTAAGGAACTAAATCAGAGTATTAAACACAGCTATAGAATGATTAGTTTGCTGCACAAATCATTAAAATCCCAATCAAAACATCAATTAAAACCAGCTCGAACAGTAACCGCATTCATTCATCTTCATCGCAGATCGAATCATCAGATCCAACCACATAGGTAAAAAAACAAAAATATTAAAAAAAAATATCAAATATTTCCATAGCTCCTCAGCAATTGTGTAAATTCAACAGTCACACACACATACACACACACACAGATGCGTGCGTTGCCGAAGCATGAAAAACACTAAATTAACGATACGGAAACCATCAAAATGTCGAACAAATCGAACAACAAACCCTAGATCACAAAAATTAAATCCTTTTGTACACAGATCAAGAGCAAAACAGATGGGATCTAAAAAAAAAAATTTTAAAAAAACTCACGTGTTTTCGCGTACTCGGATCAGGATCCACCAGCAATCAGAAAATAATTCAAAAAAAAATAAAAAAAATCTTCAACGAGAAATCGGAAAGAAAAAGGGAAATTTATTCAGACAAACAAAAGGGGAGGTGATTGAGTGGCGATAAGCAAGGAGTATCCAACAACGTCTCTGTATCTATATTTATACATGTACACGCGGTTCTCCAAGTTTTATACTTTTAATCACTTAATTAATTAATTAATCGTTAATTTTCCCAATTTTTTATTTTATTTTTTGATTTAAAAATGATGCAGCACGGAAACTTTTCAACTTCTTAACGTTTTCGTGTTTTGTGTCGCACTTTCGAGGACACATCTGGAACACTTTATAGGCTATTTTGTAATTTCTAAAAAGTTAGTAACAGGGTTGAACGGTAATTTAAAAAAAAAAAAAAATTGTTTATGTAATTATATACACCATTTAATGATAAGTTGTAAATTGATAGTTGATACTCAAATATATTTTGAGTATGTTTGTATGAGTATATATAAATAAAAATTTATATACTTCATAGTATATTTATAAATATACTCATATAATTTTAATATTTATACGTTTTCTGCGAAACTCATGTATCCCTATTTTTGGGATATGTCGTTTCTCCGTGTCCGTTTTTCTATTTTCCCCAGTCATTGTTTCCGTGTCCATACTACATAGAAGAAGTATAATAGTGGAGTTATATTTCTTTCATTTCATTTTTTAAGGTTTCTTTAGTCATAATTTTCGTATTTTCACATTTTAGGGTTCTTATGCAATATTTGGTAGTATTTTTGTTTCGTGTTTGTTAAATATTTCGAAAAAAAAAACTTCACAATTTCAAAATCTTTTTAAGCTTTAAACATTATTTGATTGCTACCGTAAAACATATCTTCATTAATAAAAATACATTTTTGTTCAATATTTTTAGATTTGATTAGACTTTTGCACTGCTTTTATCATTTCAAGATAAAAAGTAACGTTACTTTCATTCTCAAACTCTCTTCCTATAATATTTTTCTACAAAATAAAATAAAAATAAGCCCCAATACACTTCCAAATATTAGCTTAAATCAAAATATGTACTTAAACGGTGTTTGCAAAAGTTTTAGAAATAGATTTTAAAATTAGCGTTTGTTTTGTTTCTCTTTAAATAAGTTGTTTTAAGCTATAATTTGAAAAGCAGACATAGACATTTTTTTTTAAGTAAGTCGATTTCTCAACAAACTTTTATAAAATAAACACTTAATGACTTAACACCAACTTAACTTATAATTATTAGCTTCCACTTTTAAAAAAAAGTTTTGGAAACAACTCCTTAAAACAAACATTTAAATAACGGAAGAAATGATTGATACTCCATGTTTGCAATGAAGTGGGAAGAAGGGTGAGATGATAAATGACGAAATTGCCCTTTGACTGGAAGATGATCTTGTAACACGCGGTGTGCACTCGCTTTTCATTTGGTAGGGCGAGGGTAGGTGGAGAACTTCTTTTATGCTTTATATTTCCCTTTTCTTTTATTATAGCTAATAAAATGATTGAATAAAGTACCTAAAAATGTTCCAACAAAAAATCTTCACATTTGCATAGGGCTGCAGGATTTAAGCTGGTTCTGATCCGAAAAGTTCGATTTTTGAACAATTTCTTTTATTCCGATTTTTGAATTTTTTCAATATTTTCTAATTCGATTTAATTTCCGAAATTAATTCCATTTTTCCTGAAAAATACACCTATAAATAAGATATATTATATAATACTTATTTTAATTATTTTTTTTGTTTTCTAAAAAAGTAATTTATTATAAGTTTTGTTTTAGGATTTGAACATATTGAACTGTTGTTATAAACTTTATTGGATATTATGATGTGGTTTATTTTTGTTTATTTATTGTTATATATATATATATATATATATATATATATATATATATATATATATATATATATATATATATATATATATGATATGCCTAATTGGGCCAACCCAATGGGCCTACAATTTCTTTACCTACTGGGCTACGAGTCCAATATCGAAGACTAATATCACCGAGGCCCAAACACCTTCAAGTAAGGCTTGGGCCCAACAAAGCAAACTCAACCCAATAAACGACATATAAATAGAGGTTTTCCTCATTTTATTAAGGTACGTCCTATTATCTGAGCAATACTACTAATTGTATTCTCTGGACTATTTCTATGATCAGCACGTCTGACTTGAGCGTCGGAGGGGTTTCCGCCGGATCAACCCCCGGCTTAGTTCATGTGTTCTATGATCGCAGGTACCTCAGGATCATCAAGTTGTCAAGCTACTGATCTGCTTTGCTCTCCCAGTTCATTTTCTACACCACCCCAGGTGATCTAAGTAATTAGCATCATCATTTTGGCGCCGTCTGTGGGAACGATGCAAACCAGATCACGTAGCCATCAAGATCCTCCTGAGGCGTCTGCTCGAAGAGACAATGACACAGCTAACAACCTCCCAGTCCGTGGAGGCTCTGGCTTGCCACTTCCTCCACGTGCCGCGGATCCGCCTCGCGAGGTTCAGGTGATCCCCCCTCGGGACCCACCACTCGCCGATCCGCCACTGCCTGCTCCTCGAACGGTTCAAATAACCGAGGATGCGCTCCAGCGCATGATAGCAGAAGCCTCAACTCGCTCCATCCTACGACCCGCAGCGAGGAAACTCCCACGAGGAGCCAACTCGCTCGGTCCTACGAACCCACAGCGAGATAACTCCTATGAGGAGACCACTCGCTCCATCCTACGATCCGCAGCGAGGAAACTCCCACGAGGAGCCAACTCGCTCGGTCCTACGAACCCACAGCGAGATAACTCCTACGAGGAGACCACTCGCTCCATCCTATGATCCACAGCGAGGAAACTCCCACGAGGAGCCAACTCGCTCGGTCCTACGAACCCACAGCGAGATAACTCCTACGAGGAGACCACTCGCTCCATCCTATGATCCGCAGCGAGATTACTCCCACGAGGAGCCAACTCGCTCGGTACTACAACCTACAGCGAGATAACTCCCACGAGGAGATAACTCGCTCGGTATCCCTACCCGCAGCGGGACAACTCCCACGAGGAGCTAACTCGCTCGATATTACAAATCCGTTGCAAGGCAACTCCCACGTGCAACCACCTCGCTCGATAATAAGACTCGCTGCGAAACAACTCCCACGAGGAGACAACTCGCTCAGAGCAACCTCAATCCACACGCGCCTAAATCGCGCATCATCCAATGCTCCTACAACTTCGCTCAAGACAACTCCCATGAGGAGACTACTCGCCCGAAATTCACCATATAATCGCAAGCTCAAGTTAGCACGATTACAATCCTAGAAGCACTTAGAGATATTATGAGAATCTATATAGCCTGGCCAGCTTGATTACTCAAATTTATCTACTTGTTTTCGATGGGTCATTCATTAAAACGTGGCCACGGTCCAAACATACTTAAGACCCACGAGGTCTAACAAGGGGCACGACCCCCATATAAAAAAAAATCTTGAGAGCCTGATCCCCTCCTCAAGTACATCACGCAGAAAGCTATATGTAAACACATACAAGCAACGCGTCAAAACATTGAAAATGTCGAAAAATAACAACTCCCACGAGGAGAATACTAGCTCCGTGCTACTACATTATCGTGAGACAACTTCCACGAAGACGTAACTCGATCAACTCGATTACCCCAGAGACAACTCCCACGAGGAGATTACTTGATCCGTGCTACTACATTATCGCGAGACAACTCCCACGAGGAGATAACTCGATCAACACTATTACCCCGCGACAAGATAGCTCCCACGAGGAGATAAATCGCTACTACATCGTCGCGGGACAAAACCGACGACTCGATTAATTTATATTGCGGCAACTTTGTCGCGCTATGCGCCAACGCGCATTCACACCCCTCCGACACACGCTCCAACGCGTTTTCGCATACCATTAGGCCATACGCCAATGATCGACTTCTCCAATTTTTACTCTCGACACGATTTGAGACCCATCACAACATGGCCCCCACATCGACTCGAGAGTGGGGGGCTTAATGATATGCCTAATTGGGCCAACCCAATGGGCCTACAATTTCTTTACCTACTGGGCTACGAGTCCAATATCGAAGACTAATATCACCGAGGCCCAAACACCTTCAAGTAAGGCTTGGGCCCAACAAAGCAAACCCAACCCAATAAACGACATATAAATAGAGGTTTTCCTCATTTTATTAAGGTACGTCCTATTATCTGAGCAATACTACTAATTGTATTCTCTGGACTATTTCTATGATCAGCACGTCTGACTTGAGCGTCGGAGGGGTTTCCGCCGGATCAACCCCCGGCTTAGTTCATGTGTTCTATGATCGCAGGTACCTCAGGATCATCAAGTTGTCAAGCTACTGATCTGCTTTGCTCTCCCAGTTCATTTTCTACACCACCCCAGGTGATCTAAGTAATTAGCATCATCAATATATATATATATATATATATATGGAATTTAGTAGTTATTAGTTTTACTTTTATCGACACGGATGTTCTTATTTTTTTAAAACTTTATGAAATTTTCTGAACATTTTTGCTATGTTTTGAAATTTTATATCTTATGTGATTTCGGAAATTCCAAAATTTCCTAGTCTTTTGAAATTGAAATAAATTTTTAAATTCCAAAGATTTTGAAATTGGAATTAAAATGATTCAGAAAAGGCTAATTTCAATCTGATCCATCCGTCTTTCACTCCTACATCTGCACTAAAAGCCATTTAATTTACAACAACAATTTTTAGCATCCTTAAAAAAAAAATCGGATGATCCCGTAAATCTATTATATTTTTATTTCAATTTACAAGGCCTCAATATAAATTGAAATGGCCTATTCTCATTAATTTGTCCCAAAAAATCAAAGAAACCCTCAAATTTACACCGATTTCACATTTGGTCCTATATTTTCACAGAAAACACATTTGGTCCCTCATGTTTCAATAATTTATGCTTTTGGTCATTCCTGTCAATTTACAGTTAGTCTGTCAGTTAAGTCATCGATGTGCACACGCACGCTTGATTCCGTTAGTTTTAACAAAAAAATGACGGAAAACGCTAAAAATATTGAATTTTTGAAACGTAAGGGACCAAATGTGTTTCTTACGAAAAAGATGAACCAAATGTAAAATCGATAATAACGCGAGGGACAAAAACTGTAATTTTTCGATTACTAATCAATAATACTTGTGGGGTTTGGGTAACGAAAGACGACAAAATACACTACGAGGTTGTATCATGTTTGAGCCGAGGCAGGGTTGGTCCAAGTTTCTAAGTTTAGTGCCACTCATTTTCTTTAAATGGAATTAAAGTTATTATTATTATTCTTTTTTTGGTACTAAGGTAAGTGGACAATTTAATTGGCCACCAAACACACTTCTAATTCCATCCACATTCACATTGGGTGGTAGGTGAATAATTAAAATAGTTCCCTCTATTCTATATTAAATGTCTTTTTAAAGAGTTTTTTTTGTCCCAAATTATTTATCATTTTATATTTTCAATGAAGCATTAATTACATTATTTTCAATTTTACCCTTAATCAGTCCTAATTAATTAGTTGAGAATCTATAAATATCAAGGATATTTTAGTAATTTTATATGTTGCTTTACTATAATCTATGCACATTTATTGAGTTTCTTAATATGTGCAAAACAACGCAAAACGACATTTAAATTGGGATGGAAGGAGTAGTTAGGTAGAATTTCTTAATTTTCAATTGAATTTAGTTTTATTTGGCCCATGCCGCCGCATATTTGCAATAAGTGGGTAATTAAATTATTTATTGGTCATGCAAACACACAATTATTGAAAAAATAAAACTTGTTTATTTAATAGGATCGCTATTTGCACTCCACATTTTTTCTGATCACATTCTACTAACTTTCAAAAGAAAAAGAAACGAACGGGAGAAAATCGCATTACACCTTCTCAGATCCTCCAATATTTTCTTGCCGTAGTGGTCTTTTCGATCCGTTGTCCTTCTCGCCGTCGAACGATAAAATACATACGCTGTCTTTCAACGTATAAAATTTATAATGCCTCGTAACATTCTTTAATTTTTAAATCAAAGAGATTTTTTAATATATATTTTTATAGTGAAAAAAAAAAATGGGACAACGGAAGTGTCAACTTTGGATTAAAAAAAATGGAAATCAAAGATGGATTGGATAATTGGAATTTAATATGTATACATATATCGGTTTGGATGAATGTGAACAAAGGAGTTAACAAGCTCTAAATATAGAAGATTACACTAAATTTGACACCGCAATGGTGGAGGTGTAAGAAGATTCATAGTCGAGGGAAATAATTATAATTACCCAAATATGAAGGATTTTTTCATAATTTAACCTTACATTAGGAGGTGGCTGGGCCTTGCAATGGTTTAGATTTTTATCAACTATCAACTCAAACTATATTGGTCGAACTTTATTTCCGTGCAATATAACTCCTAAGTTGCATGAGATCGAGATGTAACTAATACTCGACTAATTATATGTGACGAACTTAATGTAAAAAATGATGGTAAGAATTATTCAAAGTTGGGGTAAAAACTAAAAACTAGCCCATGCCCTTCACCCACTTAGCTTGTGACATATTTTAATTTGACCACACTTTTAAGATTTAAATATCCTTGTTGTATTGTTCAATGTTGGAGAAAAAAACATAATTCATTTAAGTTTTCTTTGATCGTAGTTGATCGAAGGTAAAATTTAAGCAACCTTCGCATTGAGAAGCATCGGATATTTTTTAATCAACAAAAAGTTTCTAAACGATTGGATATTTTGGAGGTAAATCACTAAAAACCATCATATTTTGCTGGCCGAAGGAGGCACCTTCTCCCGCCTAAGCATTGGACGACCATGGCACATCCTATTTGAAGTGTCGCTACGCACATTCAGTGGGCAAACCAGTGTAGCGCCAGGAGAGGCCATGGCCTCTCTTTAATTTATTTTTACTACTATATATGCATATATAATTTATTGTCTTTGTATTGTTCTCCTATAGTTTTTAACAATTTAGTTTTAGCTGAAAAAATAAAATTATAAATTTTAATTGAAGAAAATAAATAAAATAATAAATGACTCTAACAAGTAGGATAAGGAAGTTACGGATTGTGACTTATAACTAAGGGCGAGTCCACCCTTCGAAAATTATGGACTCTAGTTCATCCTCAATTGAAAAAAAAAATCACTATATTACACTTATATATTTATTAAGTCCACTCAACTTTTCTTATTTAATCTACCCAAAATCCAAATTAATGAAAAAATATTATAAGTTATTTTTTCCCCTATTGTTTAGTTTTGTCAACAAAGAAGAAAAAAAACCAATTTCATTTTTCAGGGGCCTGCCCCCGAACCGCAGAAAAATAAGCTCATCCTGTAACAAAATAAACTCTCCACTTTTTGAACAATCATTGTTCTATTTTATTTATTTACCTTATTTTGTATTTGAATTCTTTTAATGCATATTCGGCTCCTCCGGAGACGAAATCTTGGCTTCATCGCTGCGCACATTTTCAATACCACGGTGATACCTTAGCAGCCTTTGACGCGACGAAAAACATACGAAGAGATAATATGTGATAAATTGTATTTAACACAACAACAAAGGCATCTACCTTCGGTTTCGAACGATCCTCACTGTTCGAGACATGATTGATACGTATATGCATGGGTCGGTTTCGTAGGCCCTCAATAGATGGAATTGGTGGGACTCCATCTGGTCGACTCAACACGTGACTCTAACAAATGCCCAACAACGTGTGGATCGGATTACGCGTTGAGTAATGCGCGTGTCTCTAGCAAGTTCATTTACTCACGTGCGAGTTGTTCAATACATGTGCATTTTCTTAGTAGTACATCATTAATTCATTATGTACACACGACCTTTATAATTTTTTCATAAACTTTTGAAAATATTTTAATATGTCTTTTGAGAATATATAATTCCAAATAATTAAAAGAAACCTAAAATAGCTAATAATTTTTTTTTGTGAGTTAAATACATAATAATGTACTTGTGTTTTTTAATAAAATTGGAATAATGTTTGCAAATTAAATCAAAATAATAAAAATTATATAAATTTATTCAATTGAAAAATACTTATATTTTAGAAACCAAATATTTTGAAAATCAAAAGGAAAATATTTTAAATTAGAAATTTCCAGATCATGGGGCCCCACCAATTTTCATAAGAAAATGAAGAAGTCCGTAAATTACATTTTATCACCCCTCAAGTTTGCACAAATTTCACATTTTGTTTCCCATGTTAAAAAAAAACACATTTAATCCCTCACGTTTTAATATCTTAATATTTTTGGTCATGTCTGTCAAATTACCATCAGCCCGTCAGTTAAGGTAGTGATAAGCACACCGCTTGATTATGTTAGCTTTAACGGAAATGACTAAAAATGTTGAATTTTTGAAACACGATGGACCAAATATATATCTTATGAACATGGGACCAAATGTATATCTTATGAACATGGAGGACCAAACGTGCAATTGATGCAAAATTGAGGGGCAAAAACTGTATTTTCCCAAGTTGTTATCTACTAAAATTTTCTTTCAAAAACAGATAATAAAAAAAGGGTAAATTTCACTTTTTCCCCTTTTACTTTGGTTGTATATCACTTTACCCCCTTGTAATCTCAATTGTATCGATTTGCCACCTTGTACTTTGGTTCGATATCACTTTACCCCCTTCTACTCTCAATTCATCGATTTGCCCCCTTGTACTTTTTTGGCTTGATATCACTTTACCCCCTTCTACTCTCAATTGCATCAATTTGCCCTCTGTACTTGAAAAATTATTTCAATTGTGGCATTCGTCGTTAGTTTTCAGACATTTGATCTTAACACCGTTTGATCTAAGTTTGAAAATTACAAAAAAACCACCACTATTACAATAATAGACAGTAATATTATTACGCCAGCCACAATATTTTTTTAATTGTTTTTTATTAAAAAATATTTAACTGGAGGGGTGACATATTAGTAATTTTCAGACTTAAATCAAACGGTGTTAATGTTAAATGTCTGAAAACTAACGGCGAGGGCCATATTGAGACAAGTTTTCAAGTACATGGGGCAAATCGATGCAAATTGAGAGTAGAAGGGGGTAAAGTGATATCGAACCGAAGTACAAGGGGGCAAATCGATGAATTGAGAGTAGAAGTGGGTAAAGTGATATCGAACCAAAGTACAAGGTGGCAAATCGATACAATTGAGATTACAAGGGGTAAAGTGATATCCAATCAAAATACAAGGGGGGAAAGTGTAATTTACTCGCGTTCAGCCCACTGTTGTTGATTCATCATGAAAGCGACGGTGAAGGAACGACAACTGGGGCATCATGAATCATTTCATTTGGGCGGAAGAAATTAAAATAATTAAAACTCGTGCCCTAATTTTGCACCACTCGATTTCATCCACACATTTATGAAGAAAAAAAAAAAAAACCCTGGTTAGAAATCAAGGTTGTAAATACAGGAGGGGGCCGTGTTCAAGAATGCTGGTCTATTTACTCCTTTGGGCTTGAAACAATTTGCAAAGAAACACAAGAATTTAGGGTTCAAAGATTCGATTTTTAGGGCAAATATTATCTGATTGGTGTACGATAAATTGGGGCTTTTTGTTATTATGATGGTTTATCTGGGTTCACTTCAAACGCTGGCCACTTGCAAAGATGTAGCTGGAATTGCGGGTACTTTGAATTTTTCTCAAGTTTTATTTATTTTGTTTTTATTTAAGGTTAAATTAATTGTTGTCTTTTTCTTGATATTTCTGTTGCTTTTTTATGGTGGTTGATAGCATTTCTAATTGGGTTTTGGTTTATTATTAGTTTGATTGAGTTATGATTATGCTATCAGATTGCACTACTTCTTTATTAGTTTGGTATTTTCTTGAAGATTTCGATGGAAAACATTTGCCGGTTTTTTTGAAATCGAACCCCTCTGATCAGTCGGGGGACCGAATGTATACACATTGAAAGTTATTTACGTGCCGATAATACCACACTACTCGAAAAATCACGAATCCCCATGTAAGTTTTAGAGGAGGAGTGGGGGGGCCATGCCCCCCCTGGCCTTATGCTGCCTTTAGTCTTCCCTTTCGAGATGACAAAGTTATAAAGATGGGTTAATGCTTCATTTCTATGATTAGTGCCTATCTTAATTTTGTTGATGATGCTATGTAAATGTACTTCCTTACATGTAACAAAAACGCAGTCTCGTGATTTTTTTCTTCCTGTCATTGTAGGAAATGTCTTTGCTTTCGGATTATTTCTATCTCCCGTGTGAGTTTTTTCGCTCCTAAAAACTTCTACCCGAACCCCCTTTTTTTTTTTTTTTTTTTTTTTTTTAACTCGATACTATAACGATAAAGAAGCTAAATCATCATCCACCACTTTAATTTTTTTTTTTGTCTTTCTTTTTTTTCGACTAATTTTCAGAGCGACGTTCCAGAGAATTATCAGAAACGAGTCTACGGAACAGTTTTCGGGCTTGCCATATATATACACTCTCTTGAATTGCTTGATCACCGCTTGGTACGGTTTGCCAGTGATATCTTCCAACAACTTACTCGTCACAACGGTCAATTCGATCGGTGCAATATTTCAGTTAGTGTACATCACCATCTTCATTAAATATGCCGAAAAAACTAAAAAGGTTCCCTAATCCTCTTTTTTTTTTTTTTTCTTTAGTTGCCGTGATTTTCGATTATATGATAAAGTTAGTTATGTTGTTGACCTTTTCGGTGATATGTGATGGGATTTTCCTCGCAGTTGAGGATGATAGGATTGCTCTTGTCGGTTTTCGTCCTATTTGCAGCTATTATCGTCGGAAGCTTGCTCATAGTTGACTTTGAAATCCGGCATTTGACCATTGGGTTCCTAAGTTGTGCGACACTCATATCCATGTTCGCTTCCCCATTGTTCGTAATCGTACGTGTTGCCGTTTTAAGCTTCTTAAAATAAAGTATATGGGTTTATTGCATTCATCATCCTTGTGTTTTCTCTAATTGCTAGTAAACTCCCCTTGTCATTTTATTAGCAAAAAAACCCCCTATGATTCATTTGTTTTAGCAAAGTTCCCTTAAAAACTCGATGTTTAGTGGGTCGTGTGCTAAAAAAATGCATTATAAGGGATTTTTTTCTATTATTAATAACTTGGGGGGTCTTTTCGCAATTTGATATAACATAGGGGGTACTAAATGCAATAAACTTTAAGATATATTCTCTTGTGTTGCTTTGTGTATTAAAAATTTAAAAGAGTTCTTCGTAAACTAATAATTACTGCGGGTTTTTTTTTTCCGCAGAATTTGGTGATCCAAACGAGAAGTGTTGAATTCATGCCATTTCATCTTTCCCTCTGCACATTCTTGATGAGCACGTCTTTCCTTTTATACGGAATCTTCAATTTCGATCCGTTTATATATGTAACTTTTCTTCCCATCGAGTAATATTTTATTTCGCACCGCTTTGTGTTATGATCTTGCCCAAAGAATTCATTGTTCGTTTCTTGTACTACTTTTTTTTTTCAGGCTCCCAATGGAATCGGAACAATTTTAGGAGTAGTGCAATTATTGTTGTTCTCGTACTTCAAGAAACCGTCAAGAGAAGACTCAACCGAACCCTTAATTGTATCTTACTCGTCGACCGATGCATGAAAAAAAAGGTAATAAATTTAGTGTGTACAATTTTGAGGTGACGAGGGCATGAAGATATTGAAAATCACGAGCACGTAGATTCCCTCTCGTTCAGATTCTCCGAATATATATATATATATATATATATATATATATATATATATATATATATATATATATATATATATATATATATATATATATACATATACATATATATATATATATATATATATACCGTGGCTATCAAGTTTTATCAAGTCAATGTTTTGGGTTGACATGATCGAAGCATTTCGTTTTCGTCCCCATTTTTGTTCGAGTATTTTTCCGATTTATATTTGTGGGTTCGATTATCTTGTAATAATCGAGAGGTGTTAGTAAATTGTTTGAATTGATTTTAGCTATATGCACATATGGAGACAATTATAAGTGTGGTTGCAAGTTGTATATTTGGGTGATCATGTGGACTGGAAATATTAGTAAATATCCTTAGGCTTGATTCAAATTTGTAACTTTTATTTTTTATTTTTATTTTTATATATCTAAATAATTACTTTTCAACTCTGCTAGTATTTACACGTTTCCCCACGTTTCCGTATCAATTTTTTTGGAATGTAGGGTTCCATGTGTCCGTTTTCCTCGTTTCGTAGTGTCGGCATTTCCGTGTCCGTGCTACATAGTCTGCAAATTAGTATGAATACCTCATCTTTTCGACTAGGCAAATTAAAAATTTGAATCAAGCAATTGAACAATAACATTTTAACTTGGTTCGATTAGAGTGATCTACATCCATCAAAGAGAGAGAAAAAAAATCCGGAATGAACACCAGACGATTACAGAGATACAAGATTATACAAGAAATTACAAATCTGCCTTCAAACTCTAACTCAATTTCTGTAAATTTTCGATTTCTGTCGATTTAAATATGAATATTTTATGAATTTGGAACATTTTTTTTATTACAAATCGGATTTAAAAAAAAAAAAAAAAAGTTGCATCAGAATTTGAATAAATTTGAGATTTCAATTTTCAATCCGATTCTAATTTTTCGAAAATAATTATAAAATTTTGATTTATTTTTCTAAAAATTATATTTATAATCAACATTATTATGTATTTTATAATCTAAAAATTCCATTTCTAGAACATTTCTATTTTTTAATTTCTGAAATTTCAATAGCATTTTTTCGAACACACGAACAACCCACTTGTTCCATCTCTAATTTATACGCAGTACAACCTTGATTCCAAAATTAGGGTTTCTAAATTTGGATTATCTGATTCGCGCAAAGAAAAGGGGGAAATTTCGTCCCATCTCTAAATTCATCGACCTGCTGAAAATTTGTAAGTAATTCGAACGTTTTCCTCTCGCCGTCTCCTTTTATTTTCCGTTCAAATGCCGGAAAATTGTAGTGTGTTCTTTCTCTTTCCGGCTATCCGACATGATTTGATACTCTCGGATGATGTTGGGTTCTGTTTGCCTGTCGTTTTAATCAACTAATCTGACAATCAGATGAATAATCAGTCGCTTGTGTGTGTGTGTGTGTGTGTGTGTGTACTAATCTGCATTAACCCCTAAAGACTTCAAATTTATTTGAGAATTGTTGTTTGGGAAGACTTATTTGTTCATTACATCTACCTCTCTCTCTATTTTATATTACAGAGTTTTTTCGTTACCGAAAGGATCAATAGAAACCAAATATCCAACAAAAAAGACAATGTCATCAAGAAATCGAGGCCCTCCAATCCCCGCCAAAGGCGGGCCACATGGTGGGCCACCCCCGCTCCACCCCCACCCCCACCCCCACGAACAACCCCCCTTCGGCAGAGCCCTTAGGGGCGGCAACGTTCAGCATCCAACGTTAAACGAAGAAATGCGAGAAGCGCATTACAGTTTGTCCGGCCAAAGACAACAGCTCCCTCCTCACCCCTGCAATAATGGAGGAGCGTTTGGCGGTTCAACATGACGATATCCAAGCCCTATTGGTCGATAATCAGAGATTGGCCGCAACACACGTGGCGGGGCAGGGGAAGAATTGGAGGTTTCACAGTACGAGATTCAACGGGCGGACAAGTACGCGCGCACGCTCCACGCGGAGAACGACTCGCAGATGAGGGAACTTTTCGAGAAATCGGTTAAGAAGGAGAAAGAAGTCCACGCTGCTCCTGCTATGAAGTCCGAGCTTATGCAGGTGCACAAGGATTTAAAGGAGTTGAGTGCCGTTAAGCAAGACCTTAGCACGCAGGTTCAAATGATGACTCGTGATTTGGGTAGGGTTACCTCGGATTTGCAGCAGATTCCGGCGGTTAAGGCGGAGATCGAAGGTTTGAGACGTGAGTTGGAGCGAGCTAGGTAATGGGGTTCGTTTTTCTTTCCTTTTTTTTTTTTTGTTTTTTTTTTTTTTTTGCGTTTCGTTGAGCTACGAGAAAAAGCATAGTATTGAATTTACTGTTTTTTTTAAAGGGCTGCTATTGAGCATGAGAAGAAAGGATTTGCGGAAAGCTTTGACCATGGTAAGGTGATGGAGAATAAACTAGTGACGATGGCTAGAGAGATGGAAAAAGTTCGAGCCGAATTGGCTAATGTCGAAAAGAGAGCTCATGTTGCTCCGCCAATTGGGAATCCAGGTAATAGTTGTCTTAGGGCTCGTTCGGTTACGTATTTCGGATTAAATGAGATTTGATTAATTTGGTACTGACTAATTAATTATTTAGTTAGTAAGTTGTTTGGTTCCGTAGATTAGATTTTTTTATTAAATCTGTGTTAAATTCTGGTATTATTATGTGATTTGTCTATAAAATCTCTCATTTGACAAAATTAATATTTAAGTCTAGGGATAAAATAGTATTTTCCTTGTTTAATCATCTCTTACAAAATTAATCTGGGGGGGGGGGGGGGGGGGACCAATTTATTGAAACAGTAGCATTTAATTGTTGGCTTTAACTTTTGTAGCGGGTTTCAGTAAGTACGAATTTTGTTAACCAAACGGGTTTCAGCCTCTACCATTTAGTCAATAGAATCTAACAGTAGTACGACACTGAAATATTCCAAATATATAAATAATGTTGTCAATTATAAATCACAGATAAATTAGTCAAGTACGAAACAACGGTAATTATTTTCCGAAGTTTTGAATGATGATGCATAATTTATTTGAATTGCAAATGTGTAAAAACAACTGACTTTGCCTTCAGAATGTTTGCTCACTACGCAAATTGAGGAGCTGTACAACTAATGTAGCTTACAAGAATTAAGATATGTATTCTGTCAGTTGATTAATTTGACCTTTATACCCCTGCAGGTGTGAATTATAACGCTAATTATGGGAACCCCGAGATGGGGCATCCTGGATATCCGTATTCTGTCGGTTACGGCATGATGCCCCCAAATGCAATGCATTACCCGGTATGTTTTTTTTAATGATTTTTGTTTTTACATCAAAAAATGTATATATATTTTATTAAATTATATAAGTAATAATGTGGCTTGGTTGTCCGGTTTTCAGGCGCCAGCTGGCGCAGAAGGTTATCCACAGTACGGACCTGGGCCTGGTGCTTGGGGTTCTTATGATCAGCAACGAAATCAAGGATCTAGATAAGAGTAATTTTACTTCCTTCACAGTTTCAGTGTTTGTATTTACAGAATTACATAAAATTATATAATGAGTTTTTTTTATTGAATTTTCGGTGAGAACACACACAAGTCGGATATAGTAGTTTTTTTTAATATATAATTATTCAGCCGAAGGAAAAACGTAACGGTCTCATTGTTTTTTCGTCTCGAGACCAATGTTATTTGAAGTGAAACTGAATGAAATAAGGATTTTTGGTAATTTGATATCGGTTAGTTGAAAATGTTGTTTTAGTGAGGTTCAAGATAAAATGTCAGTAAGGCAAGTTATAACTAGGGGTGAAATTGGAAATTTTCAATTCCCGCATTTTGTTACGAATTTATTTTTTATTTTTTATTTTTTAATTTGTAACCAATTTTTTTCTCAATACGATTTTCGGATTAAAGAAGTGGGATTGTTACCGTTTTCCGATCAATCGAGTTGGTAATGCCGGGGGATTGGCCAACCCTACTTTGCAAAAAAGATGGTATTGTAAACATACTGTTGACCTTGTTAGAAATCCCAATTCTGAAATTGGGATTTTGTGTTTATTAGGGTCATATAGTAATTCAAATAAAGAGATAAATCATAAATCAGAATCAAAATCTTAGTAATTACTACACTTTTTATTAACTAATAACTATGTAGCACGGAAACTTCAACTTCTTAATGTTTCTGCGTTTCGGACACGTTTTTTGTCCGACTTCAGGACACCAGCCGAACATCTTGTGGGTTATTTTATAATTTCTAAAAAGTTAGAGACATGTTTGATTAGCAATTTTTTTAAATATTTTTGTTGTTTTCCTAATTATTTACACGATTCAATGTGATAGTAAAAATATTTTGAATATGTTGATATGAAAAATTAATAATAATTTATATATAAATAAAAACTTATATATGTTTATATAACACATTTATAAATGTACTCCTATATTATTAATATTTAAACGTTTTCCCCAAGCTTCTGTATCCCCATTTTCGAGACATGCACGTTTCTCGGTATTGCTGTTTTTGTGTTCGTGATACATAGACGAACACTGAAGGGACAAAAAAAATTGAAGCTAAAATTCAAAATATTTTTTGTAAATAATAAAATTGAGATTTTTAAACGATTTGTTGAAAAAATATTATTACATATTCATCCTATACATAATGGTTGGGAGGCCATCATGAGAAGAAAAAATGTCGAGCATTACGGTTAGAGGTGAAAGTCGGATGGATCGTATCGGAATTAGTCTTTTCGAAAAATTTCCAAAAATTTATGAAAATACAAAATCTAGTCCAATTCCAATATTTTCGAAATTTAAAAATTCATATTTTCCAATTCCAAAAGGCCTGGAAATTTCGAAAAAAAAAAATCGGAAATCACGTAAGTTATAAAATTTTAAAAATTAACGGATTTCTTTTTGAAAATTTCATCATTTTCAAAAAACAAGAACATTGACGCGATAAAAAGTAAAACTAAAAAAATAAACCACATCATAATATTCAATAAAACTTCTAATAATTAAATATGTCAAAATCCTAAAATAAAACTTAAATCAAATTATTGTCTCAAAAAGCAAAACAAAATTAAAAAATAAGTGATAATATACTATATATTATTTCTAGGTATATTTTTCGGAAAACAATCAAAATTAAATTGGATCGAAAATCGAAAATTCCACTTTTTTATATATAATTCCAATTGCACGTCAAAAAAATTGGATAGATTTGGAAATCAGAATTTTGGAATGCCGAAATGAAAATCTGAACTTTTTGAATTGGAACAGGCAGAAATTAAAAATTTCGTTCCAATTTGCACCCCTAATTACGGATTATTAAATTCATTAATGAAGAGGTGAGAGTGATATGTTTATTGCATTAAATGGTAAATGCAAATTGTATTTAATCTCTTTTTTTCTCTTGTTTGGTTAAAAAAAGAGCGGGAAACTTAAACTAGAATTTAAAAAAAATGCAGTCTCCTTAATTTGTAAAGAAATTCAAATTAGTATTTCTGGCCCACTCCCGCTTCACACTTTTTTTTCGCGGACTAAAATTCAAATATTTTTTTTTAAACATTTTCAGTAATTCATGAAAACCTTACACCGCCGCCGCCACCACCAAATTTTCCATCTTCCCGCCACCTCCAATTTTTCTTCTGTAAAACCTCCTAAAAATTCCTGATTTCATTTCACTCTGTTCATCTCACTAACCAAAAATTTCCACCATTTTTTTTCTTTCTCCGAAAATGGTGAGCAAATTCAATGGTTTACCTCCTCTCAAAAGGTACAGGCTCATCCAACAACAAAACCAAGAAACAGAAAACCCTAAAAATATCACCACCACCACCCCTTTATGCCTTCCGGCGAAAAAACGCAAACAGTGCCTCGATTCGCCGCCGCCGCCGCTCCCTCCCCCCATCTCCACCTCCATATGTTTGCCGGCCAAGAAACGGATCTTCGCCTTCCACCCCTTCGACCTCAACCTCCAATACAACGACGAATCGGAAAAATCCACGGCGGCCCAAGATCCAGTAAACCAAGCCGCCGCCGCCGATGACGACGACGGAATTATCTGCGCCGTCTGCGAGAGCACCGACGGAGACCCGACGGACCCGATCGTCCTCTGCGACGGCTGCGATCTGATGGTGCACGCCACCTGCTACGGCCACCCCTTCACCGCCGGAATCCCCGACGGCGACTGGTTCTGCGCCCAATGCCTCGAAACAAAATCAGATACCCCAAAGGCGGCGGCCTGCTGCCTCTGCCCTGTGGCCGGCGGTGCGTTGAAGCCGACGACCGACGGGAGGTGGGCCCACCTGGTGTGCGCGATCTACGTGCCGGAAGTGTTCTTCGCGGACGCAATTGGGAGAGAAGGGATCGACTGCAGCAAAGTGTTGGAGAGGAGATGGAGCCGGAAATGCTACATCTGCGAAACGAAGAACGGGTGCGCGGTCGATTGTTCGGAGTCGAAGTGCGCGTTGTCGTTTCATGTGAGCTGTGGTTTGAAAGAGGATCTTTGTGTTGAGTATAGAGATGGGAGGAGGAATAGTAATAATCAAGTTGCTGTTGTTGCTGCCTTTTGTGCTGTTCATACTGATTTATGGAAGAAGGTAATTAATATAACTAATAATAATAATAATAATAATTACTAATTAATTTTTTAATTTATTCTTGAATTTTTTTCATTTTCTTTTTTTGTATATTTATTTATTTTTTTGGTTTTGATTTGCAGCAAGAGCAAACAGGGAAGTTCAAGATTGTTGCTAGAGATGAAGACAAGAATTAGCAAGATTTAAAAAAATATAAAAAAATATTGGGGTTCAATTTTTATAATTTAATAGAATTTTAGTGTTGAATGTTTAAATTTGTAGAAATATTGTTAGAATTTTTCCAGAAGTTATTTCATCTTTAACTAGTTTATTGTAGTAGGGGGGTTTATGTTTTAAATTTTAAATAGTTGATTTTTTTTTTCAGAATTTAATAATAGTGTTTTGTAAGTTTATTCTAACTTCATCAAAGCTCTATTGTTTTTTTAATCAAATGATTACAGCTCAAAAGTCACATTACAAAACTCGACCCAACGACTAACGACCCACACTAGGCGTACTAGGTTTAACAAACTCGACCCAACGACTAACGACTGTTAGCAAGAAAATTCAAATATTTATATATTTATGTTTGGTAGCTTATATTAAAAGTTGTGATATTAAACGGTTTAATAATGTGACATATTATGGTAAATCAAATCAATACTATTGAAATCACATAAACTATTAAATCATTTTACAGACCACTTATAAAATAATTGTGTTACTGTACAAGGGAGCTACAACACAAGCTAAAATAACCAGAAAAAGGAAAAAAAGAAAAGAAGTATGTATGCTCACTCATCTCACAAAGAGAAGCAAAGCAGCATCCAAACTCGGCACGAAATCAATTTGCGGTCGACAAACATCGATAAGACCATCCATTTGCAATTGCAACACTGTACATCGTTCAGCATCTTTTTTCTTTCCCCGAGCCATCCTCAAAAGGACTGCAATTCACCACAACACCACATCGTCGTGTATATATGGTGTCCCGACTAAGTGAATCCAAGCTGGACAGCTCCAACCTCTCGATGAGCGGCAACGGCAACAGCAGCAGCGCCGGCGGCAACAAAATGAGACCGCGTTTGCAATAGTTTTGCATCCACAGCAATTTGTTGGCTACTATTCATTATGCCTACTTTCGGTTGCGACTGAAAATTCGGTTTACTATTCACCACAGGGTATGATTCAGCGGTCTGAGATTGCCTTTTCCAGTCAAAGTCAACACTCGTGCCGTTTCTTGATTTATCATTCGCATCTCTAACATTCTCGTACGGTAAAACGGGTCCCACTACTCTTCCTGGCTTTGCTGCAATAAAAATGATATAACTTGAAAACAAGAGAAGACATTTTATAGCCAACTAAAATTTTTTATAGCTTAAGCCAAAAAAAAAAAAAAAAAAAAAAAAGGAAGAATTTGTTGTACCGTTTGGCACCCGTGGTGGTGGTGGCAGTGGTACCTTTGCTATATTATCTCCAGAATTTAGACCTGAAAATCGAAGCCCAGTTGATGCTTCTGCCAGGGTTTCCCGATTGTCGAATGAAGAAAGATTCGTTTGTGCTTTGGAAGGATTGGTACTAGAACTAATGGAAGACCTGCGTAGTAGGAAAATGCTACTCTGTTAATTTATGCATTAGTACTTTAGAATAGCACTAGGTATAAGTAACAACAGTATGTTTTGATAAAATATTTAAATGTAAAAAAAAACATAAGAAAATGAATTCAGTCTCGAAAAGAAAACGAAACACAAAAAAAAACTAACCTTGGAAGAGATACATGCTTTCTCTCGGGCGGAATCACGGGCCCACTTTTCCCAGCATTTTCCTCTAAATACGCAAACTGCTTCTTAAAATGACCAATGGCACTGTATAACATATAGAACAAGTTATTCAACATGAAAAAAATCATATAAAGGAATAAAATTTATGGCTTGAGTGGAGTAGTTCAAAACCTAGGATAGAGAAAACTTGTGCCCTCGTTTCTCTCCATGTAGTCCTTCAATAATTGAGGATGGTACTCTAATATTTCCCTGAATATTAACTCTCTGATGTCATCTTTCGTCACTCTGCGTAGCTCAAATTCAAATTCCAATTTTGAGATTGGCTGACAAGAAGGCTCTCTCTCGATTTTCGCCAGTCCTTTGAAGTAAGGATCAGCCAATGCCTAATAACCATTAAAAAAAAAATCAGTACAATAAATAAATATAATGGATGATCTTTTAAATCACATGCCGAAGAATGTTGGATCAAAGATAGATAATTTGTGTAATAGCAATATTTTATGCAGGCAAACAACACCTCTTCAGCACTTGGACGATCCTTCGGATCGAATGCCAATAACCTCTGCAGTAATTTGAGAGCTGAAGGATCTACACTTGGAAATTTCTCGGCAAAAGGCACTGTGCGCTTTTTCCTCATATCCATTAAATATTTCCTAGCCTTCTCATTTCGTACCTGCATTCAGGATAATAATAACAATAATAATAAATCTTTTGAAAAAAAATAAGGAAAATTGGATTTCCGTGCTTTAAAAAATTTTAGAAACTTAAGAAAAATCAGACTTTCTCCTTACTCCTGAAATCGTATCTATAGATGGTGTTCCGAGAAGATTAGTGATCAAGTCCAGTTGATGCACGACACTTTTACCAGGAAACAAAGGCTTCCCTGTCACAACTTCCGCAAAGATACATCCTATGCTCCAAATATCAATAGCAGGTGTGTACTGCAAGATAACAATGGAGATAAATTAGAATTCACGAGAATAAAATAAATAAAAAACTCTCCAGAATAATGAGGCGATCCGACACAAATTACCTCTGAAGAACAGAAATATCAACTTCCAGGAGAGTTCAATAGTCCTCCCTGAACAAGAATTGTTTTAACTTTTAATCTACAATTACTACCCATTTGACGGCTTCAAATAAAAAAAAGGTTACTTTGATAACCGGTGGGAATAAGCCCCAATCTTTATCAAATGATAGCACTTATGACAGAAGAAGTTCATATACACCTTAGTTTTGTAACATGTTCACTGGGATTAATAAGATTAAGTGCACGTAAATTTATCGAAGTGGGCTACATTACACAAATCGAAGAACGTTTCACTGATAAAAAACCAACTGAGTTACAAACAAATACAAAAGGCATAAATTTCACTACCTTGGAGAAGAAAGATCCACACAGCTCCGGAGCTCTATACCATCTTGTAGCAACATAATCCTATAGGGTAAGACAAAAAAATCAAGAAAATATCATCTGTAAAGTGAAGATGCTGAGGTGGATAAACTATGTAATATACGAGGTGTGTAGAGCGTACCGTCCAAAAAGCTGTTGTAGGGGTGTCATTGAATGCCACTCTGGCTAAACCGAGATCACATATTTTAAGTTTGCAGTTGGCATTTGCCAATATATTTTTCGGTTTAAGATCCCTATGGAAGACATTAGCTGAAAATGAAAACAGTATTTCATTAATACAACGGACAACAAAACGGAGAAAAGAATAAACAGTGCTGCAAAATATCAAGAAACCTGTAAATTTTTAATTTTACCTGTATGCATAAATTTCATTGCGCGAAGCATTTGGTATAGAAAAAAACGGTGATGCTCGTGTGTCAAGTCATCGTTAGCTTTAATGACTTGATGAAGGTCAGACTCCATAAGCTCAAAAACGACGTATATGTCTCTGAAGTCACGTCTAGAAGGTGGCATCATAATCCGCTTAATTTCAACAATATCAGGATGCCTTAAGAGACGAAGCAACTTGATCTCACGCAGTATCCGAGTAGCATCGGAGAGATGCTCGAAAATGTCCTTTATTTTCTTTATCGCAACTTTTTCTCCAGTGTGTGTGTCAATGGCAGCACAAACAACTCCATAGCTACCTTTCCCAACAATTTCCAGAATCTTGTATCGATTGGCATCTCCATACTCGGTAAAAAATTCCACCTCTTTCGGGATCTGCAAAATAGTTAGTTTTCTATCAGAAAATCGTAAATTTTCTTTCAAAAGCAACATATATACCTAAAGAAAACCATGAATTCTCTAACTCAGCATCTCAAAACCCCAGAACTTCTACCACAAAACTTAAAGAAAGCACAAGATAAGAACAAATCCAGCCACAAAAAAATCAAAACTAAATCTCATGTTCTCAGAAATTCAGTACAATTCATTCCACTCGAGATCATATTTCAGGTAAATGTTCATCAGTTCTGTGAAGAAAACTTGTGATTCGCAATTAATAAATTCAATTTCATTTAGTATATCATCAACCAAAAAATAATAATAATAATAATCTGCTGTACAATAAAAATAATGCAAGATTAAAAAACCTAAAATGAAACAAACCTTCTTCAGCTGATCTTGCTGCTGCATCATCCTTCCTTTTTTCAATCTCAAACAAAAATTCGTCTTTGTTTCTCGATCCAAAACAGATCAAATCAAAAAAAAAAAAAAAAAAAAAAAAAAAAAATTCCTTCTGCAGAAAAATCGAAAACAACAAACTAACAACTCCCAACCACACACCAATCAATAAAATCTCCAACTAACAACTGCAATTGCCTCCACCGACTGATACAACTGCACTACAACCACCACCGCCGCCGCCGCTCCGATAATCCACTCGTAAATTCCAGAGAAGCTGTGTTGAATCAGAAAAGCAACGATTTGTAGATCTGACGAAAGAGGGGAAAGAGAAATGAACTGCTGGGGAAATTTATACAAAAAATGTTTTTATGTGGTTTTGGATTTTAATTTTAATTTTTTATTTTTAATATTTAAATGATTTATTTGTTTATTTTAAATTAAATAGTGACGGTTTGGTGGGCAACGGGTAATCGTACCGGGTACCGCCGGTAACTATACGGATATTTCTAATTGGTCAGCTGAGCCACTTGTCCTTTCCGTTGGCTGTATCCTGCTTTTAATTTTTTTTTAAACAATTTGCATTTGTGCCCTGAATGTTTGAGCTTATTGTACTTAGCACCCATCTATTCTATCAAATTGCTACAACTCCCTCGTGCTATAAATATTAGCAAACATTTCCTATGTTCGATTTTTTTATAAGGGCTTTTTGGGAGGAGGTCTATAACTTTATTATTCTAGATTTATGTGTTATATCTATTTTTTTCAATAAATTTATTCATTTAATATGTGTTATAAATAAAAACAAATTTAATGTATATAACAAAATTACCCCCAACCCTTCAAACTCAATTCTTAATCGTAACCCTAATTTAACTTCAATTTCATCAATTTTGACAAACAAAAATCTAATTTCGACTTTTTCTTTCTATCGATTTTCGATGTTGAACAGCGGTCAACACCGGTCTCTGGCGATGACTTTTTTTTTTCCTGTCAACCACATAATTTATTTGTTTTGACTTTTTTATTTGGTTTGATTTGTTGACTGATCAACGTAATGATATTATTGTCTACTATTGTAATATTATTGTCATTGACTGTAAAATTACTGTAAACACAATAATAATATTACTATCAACTGTTTTATTTTATTTTTTTGACTTTATTATTTTGCTTGATTTATTGACCGATCAACGTAATAATATAATTGTCTACTATGGTGATATTATTGTGGTTGACAATAAAATTACTGTAAACATAAGAATATTACTGTCGTTACAGCAATATTATTGTCAACCACAACAATATTAACTTTTTTAGTTTATTATGTTTGCATTTGTTGACCAGTCAACATAATAATATTAGTGTATTACACAATAATTTATTATGTAACATAGTGATTTTGTTGTATTAATATTATTGTGCTAGATAGTAATATAACAATATGAATGTGTTAAAAAGTAATACAGTTAATATACAATCAACCACAGTAATATTATTATTTTTTAAGAGGGCTAGAAAATGTTCAGGAAAACAAAATTTAAAAAAAGGAAAAAAGAAAAAAAAAAAAAAGTCAACGCCGCCAGTCAGCAAAAAAAAATCCAATGCCAGAGATCGGCGGTTGATTGGCGACGATGGTCAAAATTGAAGTCAAACTTGGGTTAGGGATAAAAAATGAATAATTAGTGAAACTTATGGTCAAATTGAGGTTAAATTGGATTAAAGAGATGAAATTAGAGCATATTAAAATGTGATGGGGTATTTTAGTCTTTCATACACATCTGGACTTTGTCTAGATTTTTTTGTAAAAAAGTGTTTGGTCTTGTCCTCTTTATAAATAAGTAGTCAATGATGAGTTTATTTGTAATTACCCCTCGTTATATATGGTGGGTTTCTAAGGGGCAGTTTATTATATAAAAAAGGATTATAACTTATAAGCATTTGTCTCCTAAACTTAAGGTGTCTTTGCATTTTACCCCCTAATAAAAAAATGTTGCATAGACATACCTCAACTCTATTATTTGTAGCCTTGGTGACGATTTTGTTAGTTTTGGCTAAAATTGGCCCATAGGAAATTTGGTACTTCCGTCTTACACCCTTCTCCTTCTCTGTTTTTCAAGAGACCATCGGTAATGGATGGTGTAGCCCTCAAATTCTTCGTGTCGCGATATTTCCTTTTGACTAAGAGCTTATTTTGCATGTCGTTGTTCGTATTTTTGATTGAGAGCCTACTTTTGGTCGAGAGCTTAATCGTCAATCAATCTCTTGAACGAGAGCTTAATTGGTTGACCATGTCGTGGTCCAAGCTTTTGATGACGAAGGTTTTATAAAACACAAAAATGGCGTATGAATGGATGAGTGCAAGTTCAAATTCGCATTCATTTGCAAAGTACCTTTGTCATTAGTATTATTTATTAATTTTTTTTCTAATAAATATGTCAAATGAGTATTTTAGTTACTTAATTAATAGGACTTAATCGAATTGAACCATAACGAGTAATGAGTTCAACTAGGCTCGTAATTTTTCGAGCTTAATACAATGTTTCAAACTCGAGCCGATTCACAATTAACTAAACTCGTCTCAAATAAATATAGTATCATCATTGGTTAAGATTAGGGATGTAAACCAGGCGAATTCGAGTTGACGCCAGATTTCCGAACTCAAGCTCAAGCTCAATTAATCTTAGTTTCCTTTTTAAATTTTACGTAATATCAATAATGTTTTTTATTACAAATTATTTATATGATAATAAAAAAGTTATAGAACAAAAAATAAAACTAACAAGCCGACTCGTGAGCTTATGAACAACTAAGAACAAGCTCGAGCTCCAAAACCCGAACTTGAGTTATTGGAAAAATTGGGTGTGAACCCAACTTTCATAAAATATTTAAGTGAGTTATGTTTATCGAAATGGAAATAGAATTTAAATACACGATCTACGTTTCACGTAGATGATTGTTATATACTAGGTAATTTCTCAAAACCAACTTTGAATGAATAAGAAATTAATGCATAAAGATGAACACTTAAATAAGATTAATTTATGAGAAATGACAAGGTGAAAATGCACCATCCCCTGTCGCAGGGACCAATCGCCAATTTCAAACATAAGATTTTTACATTTTGCACTAAATATTTTTCTGTAATTATATCCAAATAATTAGTTTTATCAATTCCATCAAATATCTCCAAACGGTAGAGAATTGTAAATAACTAATTAAACTACTCCACTTCTTATAAAGCTAAAGTCAACACCACAAATTATGTTTGGTACAAAATCAAGAAAAGTGAGCCCTTAGTTTATGTTATGTTGATATTACACATCGTCTAACAAATAAATAAACATTTCAATAAACATGTGTATGAATTGTGATCAAGATGAATGTCCAATTATTGAGTCAATCTAGGAAAATAAGGGCAAATTACAGTCACCTCTGAAATAAACTCAATTTACGGCCGTCCCTTCAACAAGGTTTGTCTTACACATCCACTTTTACGATGTCAAGTTTACCTACTGAATAAAAAAAAAAAACCGTAAAACAATACGCAGTTGAGGGGATATTTATAATTTTCAAAACATGATGATTTTTTTTTTTAATTTAACCTTACCTCGAGGATAGCTAACCGGAAAATAATAATGCTATACAACCTACACTAGAGTGCATCGTGGTTGGTAGTTGATTATTATCAAGCAACTAATTAATTCATTTGAATAGACTAAAAAATATCTAATTTGAAAAATACAAACATCTTTTATTACGATAGTCGATATGACATATACTTGTTTTAAAAAAAATCCAGATATCCAATTTTCTTCTGATATTTAATTCTGAACTATGTTGGCTAACTTCTTAATTATGTATGTCAATCAATTAATTATGAAAACAAAATCTTACTTCGGAAATATAAAAAAATGTATTTTTCATCCTCAAACTTTACGCACTTTTTCAGAACCGCCCCTAAACATTTTGAAATTATAATATTAGTCCTCAATCATACTATTTTTTGACAGAATTGGTGTACCGTTTACATTTTCAGTTAAGTTGGATGGAAAATAACATGTGACTCCCACGTGCCGTCAATTTTTCAACACTATAAGAAAATGGACTTTTAACAACATGCATTGCTTTTTGTTGAAACATAATTTTCATAATTACTTTTTATAATTAAAATTAAAATGACGTAAAATTCCAAAAACCAAGTCCATAAATTGTTCCAAAATATTTTCAGAAATATTCTTGAAAGAAATCAAAATATTGTCTAAAAAATAGAAATGGTGTTTCAAAATCAAATGAAAAAATCGTTTCAAACCAAAATAAAAATCTGATGGGAATAGCCGAAATAAGAAAACTCGATTCCAATTTTCACCCCTACTCAATTCCATAAATACCGATTTTGAAACAATACATCAAGGTTTACGTTAATAAATAGGGGTGAAAATTGGAACATAGATTTATTATTTCACCTATTCTGATAGGATTTTTATTTTATTTTATAACAATATTTTTCATTTGAATTACAAAAATCTCGACTTTAAAACAATTATCGCGAAATTTAGACAACATTTTGATTTTTTAATTTATATTTGTCAAAATATTTTAGAATCAATTTATCCAGTTTTACATTATTAAATTAAGGTGAAAATTAGAACAAAGTTTTCTTATTCTGCCTATTCCAATTGGATTATTATTTTAATGATTTTCCTTCAAATCCAAAACTGCTGATTTTAAAACAATATTTCTCAAAATATTTTGAAAAAATATATCGATTTGTTTTTTTGGAATTTACGTGATTTCGATTTTCAATCAAATTTTAATTATGAAAATGATGTTTTAACATGACAAGGTGCTTGTTGTGAAAAGTCCCTTTCTTTAAAGTGATAAGAATATAAGGCACGTGAAGAACACATCTCATTTTCCATCCAACTTAACTGAGATAGTAAACGATAGACCAATTTTGTCAAAAACTGGCATGATCAAGGTCTAATATTGTAACTCCAAAATGTTTAGGGATGATTTTTAAAAAGTGGGTAAAATTTGAGAACGAAAAGTGCAATTTTCCCTCGAAAATAATAATCTTGTCAATTGCTTTTATATATATATATATATATATATATATATATATATATATATATATATATATATATATATATATATATATATATATAGTGATAAGGCCGATAAATTGGTTAATACTTTATATTGGATTCAACATTTGGTTCTACACCTGTATTGTAAAAGAGGCCCAATGAAATGAGAAAACTAAGTGTACATGCCGCAGGCCCAGCCGAAATCATTAAAAGAAAGAGGAAATTAGCTAAACATTCTTTATTTTAAACTTATTTTTAATTTTTTTTAAATCTTTTTAATTTTTAATTTTTTAATTTTTTTAAAAGAATTTTCAGTATGTTGATCGTATTGAAAACGTCTACAGATGACTACAGCTATTTGTAGTTATATTCTTTTTGTTTTTTACCGCAAAATCATGGTGGGTCAGCTATGTACATACACGAAAAATCGCCAAACCGTCAAGAACTACTCACCCCAAACGCCTCCTACCAAAATTCTAGTCGTCGCCGACCACTCAAGATTCAGAATGCACAATGAAAAAATCACATAAACAGATCCGACTATCAAAACTTAAAACCAAAAGATAAATCTTGACAAGATGAATACAACGGTGGATAACCCATCATATTCAGACCTAAGGAAACAAGTTACTTCTCTAAGAAGATCTGCCTTCTTCAAAGTACACCTCCAATGTAAAATGATTCCATAAACAAATCCAAAGCTTCAAAATGTACGCAATTACCATCAAAAGAAAAAGACCGACATAAGGAAACCAATGGTAGCTAAACCATCAAATTCCGACCGCCAGTGAGATCGAGAAAGTTATGACTCGAGAAACACTACTATCAGTTCAAAAAATTAGGAGGCACAAATTCGGGTTTGAGAGAAAAATGAAATGTAGCTAGACGGTTGTAGTTGGTTAGGGTTTAAATCTGATTCTCTAAAGTGTATAATATGTATTCTATGTGGCCGAGGGGCATGTCAATTTTTTTTTTTAAATGTAAAAAGTATCACCAAGGATGTAATCTCTTATTATCTTTGGTAGTTAGTTCAATATATTTCTCAAATGAAGGTTGTCCATCATATTATCCCTTTTTTATATCCCATGTAAACATATTACTATCATTTTCTTTTCATAAGCAAGAGTATCACATTATTGCCAAATTAAAAAAAAAATGATGAAGAATGAGATATTGTTGCTTTGAAACATTAAAAATAAAGTTATTTGAATTTTTGGGTAAATTACAAACACCCCCTGAGGTATGGTCAAATTACATGTGAAAAAACTCTATTTGATGAACTATTGCAATCATGCTCATTTTATCTTACTAATCAAAAGGAGAAGCCCATTTGTATAAGGTGCTTCTTTTTCTTTTTATTTTTTTCCTGATAAGAAAGAACTCTGCATTACGAATGCAAAGAAAGATAAGAGTCGAAGAGTGGGGTCGGAAAACCACCATTACATAAACAAGAAAAATAAATGGGAGTGAACGCTAATCTTCGTTTCAACAAACAAAATCAGTTCAAAAAAGCAAGATTGTGAGCTGCAAACTTAGCATCTTTATATATTGACGTAGTTAAATCGCCACTTAGGCCAAAGACCTCAAAATTTTCAAATCTCCTCTATAAGCACATCAACCGTCCAATCAAACAATTGTATAAAAACAAAACTAGGTGATTAATTCATTCTCAAATGACAAAATAGTCTACTTGGTAGGAAAATGAAAGATCTATTCTTTTTCTTTTTTCCTAAAAAAAATAATTCTTAGTGATTCATTTCTCTCTTTAATATTATTTGTGAGTGTTGTGTGTTTGGTTGATTAATTTACACATGGATGTGTGCGTTATTATGTGTTCAAAATTACCCGACGATTTCACCGAATGCAGCATCTACAGAACCCTTCGCTATCGTGTAGCATATCCGGAACCAATCGATTTCACGTGATTCATGTGAAGTCTTTTTAATGTGGGAACACATTATATAAAGGTTTGGTTGTTTCAAAATTCATATTTGTTGTGTCAATCTTTTTCATATTTCTTGAAAAGGAAACTCCCGCGGGTTTCATAATTCTGCCAACTTACATCATTAAATTTCGACAGCTAATGCAATTACATGACACACCAAATCTTCACATGATTCATTTGTCCCATGTATTTTTTTTTATTTTTTTATTTTTTATTTTATTTTATAAAATTCGTCATACTATTTAGGGTAGAATTTGTTTGTGGCCACTGCATTTCAAATTCACCAAAATAACCCGTCCTACTCCAATATTTGTAAAAGTTGTAAAACAAAATATTTTTTAAAGAAATTACGGGATTGATAATTTTTTTTTAAATTACAATTGGTATTCTAAAATACAATTAATATATCAAAATTATAAAGAATATATATACACATATACAAATATCTGGCATATACAAGTAATATTTTAGGGTACAATGACACGTAATATGAGAAACAAAATATGACCAAAGTCACACTTAATTATCACAAAATTTCAAAGTTCATTGTCTTTTTTTTTTCTTCATACTTTTCAACTAATGAAACAAATAATATCACTCTCTAAATATTTGTACTATATTAATCAAATGGGCAAATTACGGCCACCCCTAAGTTATGTTTAAATTATGAAAATCCCCCTCATATTTGAATAATTACAACCCTCCTCAATTATGCATTGTTTTACACGTCCACCATCAGTGTCCAATTTACCTGCTGGAAGAGGGGTTTTTTCGTAAAACAATACCTAAATAAGGGAGTTGGTTGTAATTATCCATGACATGAGGGTTTTTTGGTAATTTGGACTTACCTTAGGGGTGCCCGTAACTTGCCCTAATCTTTATAAAGCTACTAATTTATTTCAGTAGCATCCAGTTCATACTAAAGCTTCTTGATTCAAAAACTAAAATTTCAGAGAGGGGTAAATATGACATTTTGCATTTCGATCTAAACACTAAAAATGCAATCTTTATATTTTCCACACAATTTCTGTATCTATTCAAACACATGGGACACTCAAACTTCTATCATTGTCCTGAAATCCAATTATGGGGTACTGTAATAATTATTACAGACAAACAAGAATTTGACACCTCAGTTTGGCAGCTGTTTTTTCACTTGTATACCTAAACCCTAAAAGTTATTTCACATGGAAAACTTCTTATATATCAACTCATATTCATCCCTTCATCACTTCATTTATTTTATTTTATTTTTTGTTCTTCCATTGATTAAATATGAAAACTCCATTCTACATCTCGATTTCCGTAATCGCTTTCGTTCTCTCGAAGATGATCATGGCGGTCTTGTGCTACCGTCGTTGGAAACGAAATCAATCGGTTTTTCGAGAAAGTTCTAAAGGTACAATTTTCTCTTCACTATTCCTATATTTTATTTTATGTTTAATTATATATAATAATTATTTAAAAAAAAAAAAACAGGTGGGAAATTAGTAATGTTTAGATCACAAAGAATCAAGTCGTTAAAGCCGAGTATGTTCTTGAAGAAGACGATGAAACTTAGCAACAAGGATGTTATAGGATCGGGCGGTTATGGGGTAGTGTACAAACTGGTGATCGGTGACGGAATATCCTTTGCCGTTAAAAAACTTAACAGAATAAGTGCGGATCAAGATCGAGGGTTTGAGCGAGAATTGGAAGCTATGGGAGATATTAAGCATCGGAATATCGTAACTCTTCACGGATATTACACCGCTCCTCACTATAATCTTCTCGTTTACGAGCTCATGTCTAACGGAAGTTTGGACGGGCTTCTTCATGGTATGTGAACGAAGCTAAGTTTTTCAAGAATTTAGAAAACCGAGTTTATTGCATTTAGTGCCCTTGTGTTCTACCGAATTGCAAAAACACTCCCCGTGGTATTAATATCTGCAAAAAATCCCTATCATATATTTTTTAGCACGAACCCCACCTAACTGGTGGGTCGTTTGCTGAAAAAAAATTGAATCATAGGGGGAGTTTTGCCAATATTAATAACATAAGAATTTTTTTTAACAATTAGAATAAACACAGGGGCGTTTAATCCAATAAACCCGCAAATAGGTACTAAAAATTAGGTTTTGTTGCATTTAGATTGTCCAAAAACTCCATGTGTCATAAGTATTATCAAAATATCCCCTATGATTCAATTTTATTACCAAAACTACCCCCTAAACTCGCACCATTTAGGGGGTTGTGTGGCAAAAAAAATGCATCATAAGTTTTTTTTGCTAGCATTCATACCACGAAGAGGTTTTTAGCAATTCGATATTATCATACAGGGGTACTAAGTGCAATAAACTCCTAAAATAAGTATGAAGATTTGTCGAGTTCTTACACTTTGTACTATGATATATGATGCAGGAAAATCTGTGAACAAGACATTCCTCGATTGGCCATCGAGATACAAAATAGCATTAGGGGCTGCAAGAGGAATATCATACCTTCATCACGATTGTGTTCCTCACATAATACACAGAGATATTAAATCGAGCAATATATTATTGGATCGTAATTTGGAAGCCCGCGTATCTGATTTTGGACTCGCAACATTGATGGAGCCGGATAAAACCCACGTGTCCACATTAGTTGCCGGAACATTTGGGTACTTAGCTCCCGGTATGTTTTCCGAGCACGTAACAAGATTATTATTATTATATATATATTTTTTTTTGTTTGAGAATAATGATGTAATGATTTCGTTGATTTCCTGCAGAATATTTCGATACAGGAAAAGCAACGGCAAAAGGAGATGTCTACAGCTTTGGGGTCGTGTTATTGGAGCTTCTAACGGGGAAAAAACCAACGGATGAAGCATTCGTCGAGGAGGGAACTAAGCTGGTTACCTGGGTAAAACTTTCGATTAAACGAACGCTTGAATTTTTATTTTTTTAATGAAGTTTTTTTATTGCAAGATTGTTAGAAGAATACTTTCGAGGGAGGTTTTAACTTATAGCATCACACTCTCAAGTAGAAACGAGAATTTATAGTACCCCTGTGTTATATCAAATTGCAAAAAAACTCATTGTGTTATTAATATTAACAAACCGCCCTACGATGTATATTTCGTAGCACACCCCCCCTAAATAGTGAGATTTGAGGGGGTAATTTGCTAAAAAAAATTAAATCACAAGGAGTTTTTTGCTAATATTACTAACACGAAGAGTTCTCTAACAATTAGAGTAAATATAAGGGTGCTAAATGCAATAAACCCTACTATTTTTGGTTTCGATCATAGTACATTTCTAAATCTTTCAACTTATATATTGTTATTTGAGGGACTCGACTTTTACAGTAGAACCTCGATAAATTAATAGCCTCTGGTCCCGACTCGGTAAAAACCTACTAAATTATTTGTTCGATAATTTAATATTTCGCTAAATTAATAGAATTTTGTTGGTCCCGACTCTATTAATTTATAGAGGTTTAACAGTATATTCATTTTGTTTTACTACGTTTTCTTTTCAGATACTAACGAGGTTTGGTAACACATTGTTGCAGGTGAAGTCAGTCGTCGAAGAAAAGAGAGAAGAATATGTACTCGACATAAGTTTGAACGATTCTCCGATAGACGAAATCAACCATGTATTCAGTATAGCACTTATGTGTCTCGAGCCAGAGCCTACGAAAAGACCGACCATGGCGGAAGTTGTGAAGATGCTAGAGCAGATAAGACCCGAATTATCGGAAAATCGAACAAATTGTACTTCAAGTTCTTAACAAATAGGAAGAAAAAAATGTGCACTTTATGATCGATGCGCAGTCATCTCAACATACGAAATATGCATATTAACTCAACGAATAACCGAAAAATCCATCATATATATGCCTTTTTTTTTTTAATTATTTTAGTGCTGCAGCCAATCCATTAGAAGCTGAAGATTTCAACGAAGGGGAAACGGGATTACCTCCAAGAAACACGTCGAAGAGAGCAGACGCGACGTTTGATGATTCTATTGTAGCATCGACTGAAGAAGGAACACCGTCGGGCGATATACAAACCTGAGTAATTTCCAAATTTAAAAAAAAATTCAGAGAGAATAGTTAAAAACGAAATGAAAAGAAAAGAAAAGAAATCGTACTACCCTTTTATATGTACATACATACGTATTTCGTATGTATAGTGATATTAAGCCCTCGTTTGCTTTACCTATATCGGATTAGATTAGATTAGATTATACTGGATCGTATTAATTCTCTACTAACTAATTAATTATGGTCTCGTTTGCTTGCTACTATTAGTAAGATGTTTGGTTGGTAAGATTCAACATTGCTCAAGCCCGCTACTAATGGAAGCCCGCAATTAAATGCTACTATTTCATAAAATTAGTAACACCCCTCACCCCTGCGATTAATTTTATAGGGGGTGATTAAAAAGGAAAATTATAATTTTATCCTTCAAATAATAACTTGATTTTGTTAAATAAGAGACTGTATAGACAATTCACATATAATACCAGAATCTAACAAATTTAATATAAGATGTAATCTAATGAACCAAAGAAGTTATTAACTAAATAATTATTTAATCAGCAGGGATTTAATAGCAATTAATTGCGGGCTTCGGTTAGCTTGAATTTTGTCAACCAAACATGTTACTAAAGCCTGGTATTTAGTCAATAGAACTTAATAACAGTAACCAAACGAGGGCTTAGATTGTTAGTAGCTTATAGTCTACTTACAAGCACATTAGTCGTGTCCAGCCACGTCAAAAATATGGAAGTTCCTTTCTTAAGGGGCCTCCCTTGAAAGACGCTACGAAAAGTCGAAAGTGCCGATTCATCAACTTGAGTCGGTGACGAAATCCTCGGAGAAACGGCTTCATCCAATGCATCCCAAAATGTTTTACCGTCTATATCTCTTACTAGAACAATATTTAGTGATTTCTCCACAGGAGCTGCAAAATTCATAATACCAATTGTTGGATAATAATTAATAATCTCAACAGTCACAAAAAAATGGGTAAATTACGGCCACCCCTGAGGTATGGTCAAATTACAAAACAAAAACCTCATGTTTGGGTAATTACGACCAGCCCCCTCAACTATGAATCGTCTTACACGTCGACCCTTGCGGTGTCAGATTTAGTGGAATCTTCTAGATTATGTGGAATATTCTCCAATTCGTACACGTTTTAGCCCATTCGAGTTTCGCATTTTGAAACAAGATGATCATAAGATGCTTCTATTGACTTGTAAATATCTGATTGTGGTGCATCAGAAACTGTATTTTTACACAAAACAAGTACAAAATATTCCACGGAATCTAGAAGATTATGTGGAATTTGACACCATAAAGGTGGACGTGTAAGAAGACTCATAGTTGAGAGAGGTGGTTGTAAATACACAAACAAGAGGGGTTTTTTCGTAATTTGACCATATCACATGGAGGTGACCGTAATGTACCCCAAAAAAATTGATCATACTTTAAGATAATTACCCTGAAAAATTGCGTCGAATAACGATGAATCTTTTTGCAACTCTGCAGATGAAAGTCCACTCCATGCATCTAACTTTGTGAAGACGGATTGATTTGCGTAAAGTCCCGCAGCGTAGACTTTAACCCCGATTATTGCAAATACTTTTTCTCTGTATCCTAATAACATTATGAAATAACATTACGAAATAATAAAGGTAAAGATGAAGACAATTCCACATGGTATATACGAGCGATAATAACAATACGAATAATTTAAAATAGATGGTTTTGCAACCGACCAGTTCCGAGTAATGATAACGTGGAAGAACAGCCTGGAAGGCTCAGTGATGTTTGAAATTTCACCTTTGTCGCAGGTTCTTCGGCGAAGTCCGAATTTACAACTGAAATCCATTTAACGAATACAGTTAGATACAATACAAAACTATATAGAAGTCATAGAGAAGAATGCGGATGAAAAGACACTTTAGTATATACATTTTCGAAATAAATCGAGGATTTCTTCTTATGCAATAGCTAAAAATCAGCAGCAGATTTAACAACCTCTAGTTTCGACATTAAAGCTGTGGAAAACTAATTCCCAGTTGCAGGTAAGATCATACTTTAAGGCCTCATTTGGCGGACTAGCTATGATTAACTACTAAATAAATGGAGAATTTAACATGTATTCCTTCCACAATCGCTGATTTTTTTTGCAATTAAATCGAAAGATCTTGTTGCAACTACTAATTAGACTATGTGATTGTTGCT